ATAGATTTGTGTTTTGCATTCTCTTAAGACCATCATATCTTAAGATCTTTCTTTTGAAACATATTATATAACTTTTTTGTTTTCAAATTTTGTATGTTACTAGAAAGCAATATTTAAAAGAAAACTGAGGCTGATAAAGCAGAGGCCAAGAACTGAGGGGCAGCAACATGTATTAAATGTTATGTATAAACCAAAAGAAATGGATTCCATTACATAAGTTGAGCCTCAAACAAAATGGTTTACACTTCAAGCACAAACATAGATGGTGCATTCGTTGACTTCATATACACCACATCCATGCATTCTTCCATGCTTCCACTGGCCAGCATAGCGATATCAACCCTTCTCCCTGAAAAAGAAACATTTGTCTCCATAACACCATAAATTGAGATATATGCCTGCCAAAATCTCAACAAAGTTTGGCAGAAAAAGTAAAATGCATGCTGAGAACATAGAAAGGGCCTAGCATGACACAACACAAATGCGTAATATGTGCATGTTTATATTGGGATTTTAGGAAAAGCAACCTGTGCATGGTCATAAAAAGGGGCATATTCAAATGCAAGGATAACAAAAATGAAACAAAAAGAAACAGATAAATTGATAGAGGAACATACGGTTTTCTCCCAAAATATTTGATCCACACATCACTCTCGTAAAATGGTATTTCATACAGCCCATCAGCCAGACAAATGTTATCTTCAACATCCAGCTCTAACCATTCTTTATCTTCTGGAGTCATGACATCTCTTGATATTATTTTACCTTCAGCTCGCATTTTTGCTTCAAGCCTGGAAAAAAGGAAAATATCCAACTTCACTGTATCATGCATAAATCTATTGCTGAGATTGTGAAACCTACGTTATAACATGAGAGCATCATAAATAGTTAACAAAATGTTACATACTTGGAACCTGGCAGAGTTTCTATATCAGGTATATCAACTTCAACAACCCCATGGCCTTCCATGTTGTTTTGCAGCCATTCACCTTCATACCTATGAAAGAAAACATCTCGTAAGATTTTCTGTTTTCTTGTAATAACATAATGTGTGCAGCACAGAAGTAATTCAAGCAAGTCATTAGCCCAATAAAGTACAAATTTATAGACCCAAAAAAAGAGGGGGAAAATGAATTATTCAAATGATACTCTCAGAGTTGAACTATGCAGAAGCATACATTTCAATCCTACAACGACAGCACAGCCTTATCTGCATGTTTAAGGGGCCTTCAATGTAGGATGGTACTAGAAGATATGAATGAAGAAAGGTGAAAAACAACCTTGTGATACAGCAACAGAGATAAACAAACATAAGTATCATCAAGACTGATGAGTTAAACATTGACAAACCTGACCAACCCCTGTTCTACAACATAAACACCTTTGCCATGAGCCAAGTCATCCCAAACTGTGCCTTCATGCCTTAAAAAATTGCAGAATGATAATAATGAGCAATCAATAAGTCAACGGGAGACATGAATCAGGCATACCATTACTGTGGACTTCAAACAAGTGGAAAGCAAACTATTGGATTAAAAATGAGTAAACGACTAACTTCAACATACACTGACATATTCTCCACATAAATCTATAATTTTGCATCTCGCCACCAAAACTTAAACTTTTTTGAAGTTTTAACTCTTCATAAACATATTCTACTTTTGTTTCTATATTTAAAGGCACTCTTTGTCCTTTTCTTTCTCTAAAGCAATGTAACTTCCAGAGCAAAGACCAAATGAAACCTGTAAGAAAAATGTAGCTACCTCATTGAAAAACTCCTCAATCCTATGTTACTAACTAAACTTCCTCAATTACCAAACTCCAATAAAGTAAAATGCATTCCCTTTCAAGAAAAAAAAAAAAAAAGAAACGAAGAAGATACTAACAAAATGAAGAAAACATTAAAAAGGAAGTTTCTTTAACATACGAGCTTCCATCAGGGAAAATGTAGCTGACCTAATTGAGGAACTCCTCAATCCTATACAACTCTTCAATAACAGCTTTGGGGTTGGCAATATCACGATGATTATTTTTATCCGGTATAGCCGGATAAGGCTTCCGACAAGGAACATAAAACGAAACAATCTCCAGGCCCCCACCTGCCTTAATCTCATCCCTTACAATTTCACAATCTTCCTTATCAGCCCAAACCGGGTCCCAACCTGGTTTGGTCATCTCCAACGGAGCATCCACCCAATACTCTTTCAAATCCTGCTCCCGCCAATTCTCGGGGTCTTGTGGAAAATCCCATATGTCTTTGCGGTAAATGTAGTATTGGTCTTCTTCTTGGATTCTCTTGAGTCTCCTACTCTCGAGCACCCGAGCGTACCTCCGGATGTTGGTTTCGGAGGTGTTTTCGGATTCCGGTGGAGCCTATCCGGGTCGGGTGTAGGTGAGGGTTTCTGAATCAGATTCTTCGATATGAGTCAGGGTCGGAGTCAGGGTATTGCTGTTGTGAGTCAGGAAGCCGTTGTACTTGTTGATCTTCTTCTTCGTCCTCTGGGTCTTGCTGTAACTCAGTGAGTTGTTGTTCCTCTTCGTTGAACATTGTTAGAGGAAGATGAAGAAGGTAAGGTGGAGAATGTGAAGAAGAAAGATTGTTGTTAAGAGAGGGGAAATGAGAGCGGAGAGTGAGAGTGGTTTATCATTTCAAAAGGTTTTGGGCTTTTTGGCCTTTTCCTTGTCTTTACTAGAATTAGAATTTATAATTATTTTATTTAAAAAAATAAAAAATAGTTCACATACTAAATATCATTAAAATTATTAAAATTCTTCAAAATATTTATTTAGAGTATAATATTTTATATATTGTAACTTTTTTTTTGTTGGTTTTTTGTATTTTCATTGTATATTTTTACCAATTATATAATTAAATGTATAATTTTTTAATTTATTATAAATTATAAGTTTTAATTTTTGTAAAAATGTTTAAATAAAAAAATAAGAGAAGTACTTTGAGATAGAATAATATTAGTGTTTAAATATAAGGGGGTTAATGAGAGTGTGATTAACGGAGAACAGCAAACAACATATAAATATATTTTCTTTCATGTGTTGTCTCAAATCATAGATAATATTATATTATAATAAAATTTATTTACATGTAATTTTATGTAGATAATTTGTATTATTGACACCTAGAATAATTGTTTAAGTATAGTTATTTTTCAAATAGTTTTATTATTTAAATTTAAAAAATGTATCAAATCTTAAAAAATTAAATTTATTTAAATCTTTTTATGTTAAATGAGATAAAGCTATTGTGATCATTCCAATAAAAAATAAAAATCTTATTTAAAATTAACTTGAACATTTTTTATAAAACATGTACATATTATTTGTCTTGCATTTTAAACTATGTAAATACGTGTTGTACTTTAATTATTTTCTTTGATTTATTTTAAGTACCATTAATTAGACATATCATAAAATTGACAACTTTATAATAACAACAAAGACATGTTAAAATGGGTATTATGAGTTAAAGGCTTTAAAAAGAGTGGTAAATATTAAAATATTGATAATAAAATATATAATATAGATATATCTCCTTTAAATGAAATTTTCAATAATATATATCTTTTCTAAATTTAAAAATCTCATATATTTTTTTTACTATTTATATATTTCCATTAATCCTGTAATATTTGATTCTTTTTTAAATTCAAACAAATTAAATATCAATTATTATATCTTTTTATTTATTTAAATCTACTTAACAATTAAAGCATTTAGGTTAATCAGTCATTGTTGTCTTTTAATCCACAACTACATTATTTTCATTCAAATTCTTCCTTTTTTTAAGTATAAATTTCTTAATTATTTTCAAATTTTTAATGTTCTCATCAAGATTACAATTTAGTTTTTTAATTATAATCTTTATACTAAAAATGATAGCACGAATTGTTCACAAAATATTATTTTATATGAAGGTATCAATAGCAAAGTTTGCTGATACAATAAAGAATTTTCAATTAAAAAATGTTTAGATTAATTTTTTATTATTTTGTAACTTAAGTTGGGTCTTTTACATATAAATTATTAATTTAAAAACTACATCAGATACAAGAATAAAAATATTTCAAAGGAATTTCTTTCACATTTAACATAATTTTTTATCTATAAGCAACATAAAATTTTTTCGTTGAGAATTGATATTTAACTGTTGATAGGTATTAAAATATAATATTTTTAATTTATTTGAAATAATAAATTTTAATTAATAAATTTACAGATTTAAAATATTTTAATTAATAAATAAAATTACTTCGTCGCACGCCACAAACTAATAACAAAATATAACTACATATCATATATAGGCTTCAAAAAACATAAACTTAATTTTAACCACCAACAATTTGTGAAATAAAAAGACTAAATGAAATAATTGAAAGATGAAATTAAATTTAAAAAAAAAAAAAAACATAATCATAACCAATCCTAAAACCCTAAAATCTATACGTTAACCTTTTATTGCTCGTGATTCGTGAAAATTAAAAGACCCTTTTGACATTGAAGCATAATTAAACTCGAACTCAGTAACCCTTTTCTTACGTAACTCAACCACCTATCTCCAAATCATTCTTTTGTCTCCAAAAAAACCTACTTTCACTCTACCCTACACATCTCATAATTCTCTGCGGCATTTCCTGTAAGTACTTTTTTTTCTACGGCTTTCACAGCATCCAGGGTATGCTTTTTTAATGTTAACTACTGTAGCTCTGTTTAAAGAATTTGATACAATAATGTTACTGTTTCTACAACTTGGGTTAGGGTTTTTTTTTTTTTTTGTTTCTCTTTTCACTGCTTGAGTTGTCCTTTACTTTAAGCGACACCTTCTTTAGTAGTGTTTACTTCTGTTTTACTAGCTTTTGTTTCCCTTTCACTTAATGTTTTTTTTTCTTAATTTTTTTCTTCTGGTTTTGTTTTGTTTTTTTTTTTTTTAAGAAGAATTCCTGTCGTTTAACGTGGCCTTATTGGTTCTTAGGTTGAATTGAATAATGTATAGAGTTTACAAGAGTAGACCAAAAAGGCCCAAGTGTAGCAACTCAATTGAGGAGAAAAAAGGGAGGAAAGAACAATGCTGTTTGGTTCCAGTAACCCCGGCAAAGCCTCGTCCAGGAAGGTCAGGGACAAAGAAAGTTTATGAAAGGCGGTCGAGAAAGAAGCTTGCTACACTAGAAAAGGACTGTGACTTGCTATCTGGGAGTTCTTTAGCTATGAACTGTTCAAATGAAATGAAAACTCTAATGGATTGTGACAAACCATCTGCAAGCTGTGCTACCATGATTTCTTCAGATGAAAGCATTGTTCTATTTACTTCTTGTGTGGCATTGACAGGCAAAGGAAAGGAGCAAAGTTCTGACAGAACAGAAAGCATAAGTGTAAGTTTGGGTTCTGTAGTTATAACAGATTTGAACATGAGCTTGGATTCTAGATGCATGATAAATTTGAATGCTAGAGAGGAAAAGGAACAGGTTTGTGTTCCAGGCTTGATAGAATTGAATATAAGCAAAGAGCGCAGTTCAGATGGAACCGCAGGCTGCTGCTTGGAGTCTACAGGCTTTACATCCACAAGCAAGGAAAAGGAACACAGTTTTGATGGAATAGAAAGGGCATGTCAGGGTTCTGCAGGCTTGATAGATTTGAATAAAAGAATTTATAGCTTGGAAAATGTTGATGGTTCTAATGAGCAAGTAATGCAGACTCATGAGGGTGAATCCACATGTTTAGTTTCTGATACAGTGATTGAATGTACTGAATGTTTAGATATCTTGGGCTTCAAAGGTCTTAATGATTGGGATTCAGTATTGAGTTCTATTCCTTTCATAGAACTAAGTTTGTCCGAATCTAAAGACTCTCAGTCATATGTATATGCACATACAATTTCACAAGGGTCTGCAACAGACGAAAACTTTAAATTAAATCACAGTAAGTGTTCTGATTTTGTTCTTTAGTTTTATATGTATCATTATTTCTTTATTAATATAGTTTATTTGCATAAATTCCATTTCTTTATTGACATAGTTTATTTGTCCTTTAGTTTCTTTTGTATCATCATTTCATTAGTAATATAGTTTATTTGCATCAATTCTGATTTCTTTATTGACATCGTTTTTCTTATTAATAAAGTTTACTTTACATAGATTTCAAGAAGTCTGAACATAGACCGAAAAGGAAGAAATATAGACCTAAAGTTGTAATTGATGGGAAAGCAAACACACCAAAGCTTGCAACTCCAAAGCAAGAAAAAGAGACAAAGTTTGCAATTTTAAAGCAAAACAAAAAAAGGAAATCAAAGATTGCAGCTCCAAAGCAAATTAATGAGAAAGTAAGGAAGGAGGTCATACCTCAGCCATTGGATCTGTCTGAAATTGAAACCAAAGCACCTGTTGCGAGGGCTTTGGATTTTCATTTGGAAAGTCTACATGCTACTGTGGATTTCGCTTGTCCTAAAAAGAAAAGAAGATCAAGAAGAAGAAGAAAATTGAATTGGTTCGATTTCATTATTATGAATATGAACAAAAATGGCAAGAAGAGTAAGAAAAGACTTTTTACTGTTAATTGGTGTGGGAAAAAAAGAAGGTTACAAAAGAAGAGGCCACAAAAGGTAAGACTTAGAATCACTTCAACTCCAGTTTACTTTTTACTTTTACTAATGAATTGTTTTTTTAACTAATGAAGCTTATAAATTTTTTTATTCACAGGTAACTGATGTGCAAGCAAAAATTGATGTTTCATGTAGTGAAAATAATGGATTTGAAGTTGAAGTTAGGGTCAAGAGTTTAACAGAGATGGAAACCCCAGCTTTAATAGATGGTACATGCAAAAGCATAACTGAGTCAAACATATCAGAATTTCAAAAAGTTACAGGCAAAAGAAAACGTAAAGAACAACCATCAGATGTCACAAAAGGTAACACAATATAAAATTAACACAAAAAAGGAGTTTTTCTATATTTTTGAAGTTAAAACAGTAAAATAAATATTGCTTTTAATGCAGGTCGAAGCGGATTTTTAAGTAAAAAGAATATTCATTTTATTATTCGGAAATTGCAGTCTTTGCATATCAGTGACAAATATACACTGGTTCCATATAAAGTGCCATTGTTGAAAATAATGCCAAAAGTTGATTTAGATGCTGAGACAGTGAGAGTTTGGAATTTACTGATGCATACAGAGCATGATAGGATTGAAGAAAAAGTAAATGAAGAAAATGAGAAATGGTGGGAAAAAGAAAGAGAACTTTTTGTTGGACGGGTATCTTCATTTATTAGCTGTATGCATCAAATACAAGGTATATTTCCTCTAATAAACAGTTCATCTTTACATTATCTATCAAATCTTTTTTGCTTATATTATCTATCAATTTTTTTTTTCTTTTTACATAGAATAATGAACAACTAAAAAAGCCTATAACTAATATGTGCCTTGATAAGAATATATTATTGTCAATATATGTTAGTTAGTTATGTAACCTTGCTGACAGCAGAACTTTTTTATAGGGGATAGAGGCTTCAGAAAATGGAAAGGTTCAGTTCTGGATTCGGTGATTGGAGTTTTCTTAACACAGAACGCATCGGACCACTTTTCAAGGTATAGAACAAGTTTCTTAATTAGTTAGAAAAAATGAATGAAACTTAATTGAATTAATTTTTTGTTAATTTTTTTTTTCACAGTAATGCTTTTATGGCACTAGCTGCAAAGTTTCCTCCTCCGCCAACAAATCAGAATAGTGCATGTGATCAAGAGTCAATTGGAAGTAACATGACAGCAATCCAGACAGAATTTGATGAAGAAGGTAATAAATATTTTGTTAATGAACCAGAATCGGAAAGAAATAAAGAATTTGGGAAAGAATTGGACTTGATTGGTGGGATAGAGGAAACATGTTCCATGCAGATTGAAGACCTAAATATAACCAACTGTTGTGTATCCCATGGATTAACACAAGAAGCTGAGATGGAAAAACCTTTTGAATCTAGTCACTGTTACCAGTCTCAAAATATGCCAATTGATACAACTACCATTAGCAAGAGGGTTAGAGGGAAAATACCAAAAGCAAAGGAACATGGTTTTGACAAGAAAAGAAAATCTAATTCAAGGGAAAAGAAGAAGAATGCCAGTGTTCCGGATAGTTATTGGGAGACTTTAAGGATAAGATATTCCACTGGGCAAAGAAGTAATGATCAAATGGATTCCGTGGACTGGGATGCGGTTAGGCTTGCAGACCTTAACGAAGTAGCAGGTGTCATTCAATTACGTGGGCAGCAGATCTTACTTGCAACAAGAATTCAAGTAAGAAAACCACGAAACACAATAGCATAGTCACTTAGACAGAGAAATACTCCTACAAATCTTTTCATCTGTTGTTTTTGCAGAATTTCCTTAACCGATTGATTAGAATACATAAATGTCTTGATCTTGAATGGCTACGAAACACCCCACCTGATCAAGCAAAGTAAGTCTGAAGTTGCAAAATAAATATGTATATACTTATGTTTATTTTATACCTTATATGTATATACTTATATTTTATTATATGCCTCATACAAGGGCGTACCTATTGGAAGTAGAAGGATTAGGGTTGAAGAGTGTGGAGTGCATACGTCTTTTATCATTAAGACATGCTGCTTTCCCAGTAAGATTTAATCTAACAAAATTTTAATAACTTCTTTGTCAATTAAATTTTGCTGCATTCTAAAAGTTTATTGTTTCTTCAACAAGGTTGACACAAATGTTGGCCGTATAGCAGTACGTTTAGGATGGGTACCTCTTCAAGAACTACCTGATGAACTTAAAATTCATCTGCTTGAATTGTAAGTAGTATAAGATGCTGAGAATCAAAATCACTATTTTTTATTAGAGAAAAATAAAAGAACATTGATGATAATATCTTTTTGCAGGTATCCTATCCAGAATTCTATACAAATATATTTATGGCCAAGACTTTGCACCTTTCAACAGGAATTACTGTAAGCTTCTTATTAAATTATCTCAAAGCTTCCTATTAAATTATCTTAAATTATCTTAATTTAATGTGCTTAGATAGTAGAATATTTGTTGATTTAATTAAATATATTAACTAATAACTTGACATATCATACAGGTATGAGCTTCATTATCAGATGATAACCTTCGGAAAGGTATTTTATCATGATAATATGAACATATGTTGTTAAAGAACGATAATGTTTTCACTTTTCATTTATTTCATTGCAGATGTTAAACTGTTTTTATATATTTTAAAACTTTTTTCAGGTTTTTTGTACCAAAAAAAATCCAAATTGTAACGAATGTCCAATGAGGGGAGACTGCAGTCATTTTGCAAGTCAATATGGAAGGTTTGCATCATACGGATAATTAATATTATTAATGCCAGTCTCATTTAAGATTTCATTTGGAATTTATAAGAGACATTAGATGCTTATTTAAGATACCAGTAACTTAGATTAGACAAATGAAGTGGGAAAAATAGATTTTGCCATACTTAATTCTAGATCATTGAAATAAGCAACATTCATTTATATATTTGTATGTGATAGTAAATTTTTTTATTATTTTCTTGTATTGATCCCAATAAAATTTAATGAGAACATAAAGTGAGTGGGTCAAATAAATAAAATTTTCATCCATTTTTTTTTATAATGGTAATATTAATATTTAGGTTTCAAACAAGATGTTAAAAAAGTCTTTATATTTATATTTGTGTATAAATATAATCATATGTTAATAAGTATATATGATTAAAATATGAAATGTGGTGTATATATATTTAAATATAATTGTTATATACCTTCAAAAGCCTATACAAAATTAAAATCATACATGTTATTGTGCACAAAATTTAGTTTTTAATTTTTACTTATTCAAAAATATCTATTTACTCTAATATCTAAAGATATTTTTTGAACAGTGAAAGATATATAACAAACGCAATAATCAGGTGACATCCAACTCAATTTATAAATTTAAGTATGCTTTATGCTTATTTAATATATGTGTTTGTGTGAGATAATATCTCAAAATAGTTTTTTTATTAAAGCATATTCTTTTATTAATATTTAAAAACTATTGAACTTAATGCCGAAGTTTTTCAAATAATACAATGTGAAAGATATTTATGTGTTTATATAATACGAATTAATTTTTTTATAGCTACGCCTAGTAAACGTTCTTTTGCACCATAAACTGTTGTAGCACCGTTTAGATTTATAACATAGGTGGCTTTGTTGTTTACATATCAAAACTGTTGAATGCAGAAAGAATGCCCTGCCAGGCCCATCTGATAAAATAAAAGCCAGTTCAGCCGCAATTTTCAACCCCCTGACGTCAGCTTCTTCATCAGAGCCTATACCACTTTTGGGTTCGGGACACCAAATCAAGATTTGTGAGCCTATCATTGAAGAACCTTTTGAACCACCAGCAAAACTTGAACCTCCGAAGTCCCAGGAACCTGAGAGTGTATGCGGTGATTCTGAAGGAATTCCTATTATCAAACTAAATCGAGATTTTAGGACAACTTTATGCAGCCAGAGCAATATCATTTGTGATGGTGAGAGTTCAAAAGCATTAGTTGCTTTGACTTCACATGCAGCTTCAATCCCTGCCCTCAAATTGAGGCGTCTCAGCCGATTAAGATCAGAGCATTTAGTGTAAGTAATCATATTTCATGCAAACTTATTTTGTATGATTTAAATTCGGCGAAGAGCTTAATATAATAAACAAAAAATTTTTAGCATGTGTCAAATAATATTCAATTATGTTGAACATGGTTTATAGAAATGAAAGTTTAACTATTCTCAAGTTAACCACATTAAATTTTATGTTAAAACTTAAAGATTATCTTATTATTATTTCAAACATAGGCAATAAATACAAACTATTTTACCTTTTTTGTTCATGCAGTTATGAACTTCCACGGAACCACGTTCTTCTACAAGGGGTAAGTTGTCTCAACCAATAAATTCTACCAAGACACATGAATTTAAAGTCTGATTATCTCTGTATGTTACAGCTAGAACAAACAGAATCTGATAAAGATGTGCAATACCACGTTGCTATATGGACATCAGGTAACGATTTAATGCAAACAATATAAATTATCAACTAGTCAGTTTATCTTAATAATTGATTAGTGCATAAAAATTCTCATATTACTTTTTTTCCTCTCTTTTTCACCCATATTCTCACATAAGGATTTCTTATAACTAGACCTCTATTATTCAAAGTGTTTACATTTTGGCCTCAGGTGAAACTGCAGATTCATTGGAGCCGCCAAAGAAAAGTTGCAATTCTACAGAGTTTGAACTTTGCAATGAACAAATATGTTTTTCATGCAACAATATTCGGGAACAGAATGACAATATAGTCCGTGGCACTATTTTGGTGAGTGAACAAAAAATCACTTCATCAACCAAAAAACAACCCCTGAACTATGTGCATATCCTTGCTGAAGTAGTTGCAGTATACTAAATTACAAATTGCATGAGCAGATACCTTATCGTGTAGCCAATAGGAGTAGCTTTCCACTGAATGGAACATACTTTCAATCCAATGAGGTAAAATCATTTATTTTATTTGCATTAATTTTGTCAAACTTTTTGCTGTGATCACTAGTAACTTTTTGCTATATAACATTTGATCTCCCGTTAGGTATTTGCTGACCATGAAACTAGTCTTCGGCCCATTAACATTCCAAGGGATTTGATATATAACCTTCCAACCAGAATCGCATACTTTGGATCCTCAATATCAACAATTCTTAGAGGTAAATAATCATGATGAACACTTAACATGTAACCTCAAACAATTTGCTCATAAAATACCTTGTTTGAAACAGGTGTATCAACGGAAGATATTCGGAGATGCTTTTGGGCAGGTACGAGAAAAAGCTCCTAAAACCCATTTAGCAGTTCTATTATTATTGTTATAGCTATTAACATGGTTAATTGACTAATTAAAAAAATTTATAAATACAATGGTCTTTATGAACCATATCCTAAGGTATGCTCTATCTCTCTTTAAAATTATACTAATAGACTGTTATTTGGGTTTGGAGGTGAGTACGAGATGTGGCTTAGTGTTCAATACCATATACTGATCAATTTCTTTTAAGTTTTTTCATGTATTTGGAGGGTTGAACTTCCGTATCAGTTAAGATGTGAAAGACATGGATATTTCAAGAAATAGAGCAATATAACTAATATTTTTTTATCTAACTATTGTTACACCTAGGTGGTAAATTCTAGTACTAATATTTTCAATTTTGTTTTTCAGGTATTGTCTGTGTTAGAGGATTCGAGAGAAGTACACGAACTCCTAGACCACTTGTAAAGAGATTCTACTGCCCAGCAAGTAAGAGGGAGAAAGTGAAAAGAGAACCGAGTGCCATACTTAGGAAGCCAAAAAATAGTGGCAAAAATATACCCAACAAGTTGCTTTCACAAGGTAGCATGTCATAAAACTATTTTATAAATAATTTATAATCAGCTTTGGGTTTGCATTTATAATAGTAGAAAATAGAGTCGATGTGTGTTTTTTGTCCATTTTTCTAACTGGATTGCATAGTTCTTTTCCAATATAATAACCATCGATATTCAAAAGAGAGATACCTACAATGAAATTTTTATATTTTCCAAATGAAATTAGACGGTCGAAGTGATTTTTATTGGAAAATACTTATGAATTTAAAAAGATGTATAATAATATTTGATTGTTTCTTGAAGTATCTTATTGCATACACCTTCTTTTTTTTAGCAAATATGAAATTTTGTCAACTCAAAAAAAAAAAAAAAAATCCTCAATGAAGTAGGGTTTAGAATAGAAGAGTGTTATCCCTTCATATACCAAAAACAAAAACTGTAAAAAGTTGAAGGCATAATTTAAATAATTCATAGCATTCCTCCAAACATTTAACAAATAGACAAATTAAATTTTGAATTTCTTTTTATTTTTAAATTATCTACGAGTTAACCAATTACGTAGTCACGATCTAATAAGACTGGTCTAACCGTGTATGATACTGGGTTGTAGTCATAGTCATTCCGTGCTATAAAAGCAATTTTAGAAAAGCGTGTTTAGCTCTTCTAAACGCTTTTGCTTTCCATAGTTCTTATCCTTTCAAATCCTTTCATTATTAAATATTTTTTTTTTGATTTTTTTATTATATAGACGAAAAACACATAAATAGATTGGGTTTTGGATATGGCCAAAAAAACAAGATTTGGGTTATGGACTATGCAATTATAGGTTATCATCATTTTATATATTTAACTTTTCTCACTCCATAATTCGAGTTAACAATATTAATATATTTCCTTGAAAAATAAAAGTCAATAAACAAAAAAATTAATAAAATAATTTTTTTCTTCGGAAGGAAGATAAGCTTTTGAGAAATAAAGTTGTCAAGTTTCAACTTGAAAATCAGACCTATTTCTCCTAAAAATTTGGCTGTGAAGCCACCTCAGATATTTTTGTTTTCCTATAAAAAAGTTGGATTTGAATTTTAAAATTATTAAATATTACTTTTTAAAAATAATTATAAATCAAATAAAGTCAATAACTGTATAATTTGTTGACGTTGAACTTTTAACTTTAATAATTAAAATTTAAATTTTTATAATCTCAAATATAAAAGAATATAAATCAAATAAAATTGAATTAAGTTTTGAATTTTAAATATTTTAAGTTTAAGATTATAGTCTAGTGCCAATTAGCTTTAAAAAAAAACTTTTAAGCTTAATATTATGCTATTTCTTATTTTAACAATAATAATGTGAGGGCTCAAAGTAACATGCGTGCCGTAGACAAATCCTCGCCTAAACATTGGATAAGAGATTTTTATATTTAATGATTCATTGATTATAGATTTTAAGTCTAACAATGTGCTAGCTTTTAATAAATGAAGAGTACACACATCATTCAAATATTATTCTACTATTAAAGAAAATTAAAAAAAAATAATTAACCCTTTTGAGCTTTCATTGTTTTTCTTTTTTCCTTAAATTGTATAACGAGCATTTGTATCCATCGCTGCCTTTATATGCGTAATATCCATATATTAATCAAAGTAACCATGCGAACTACTTTCATGTGTATGTATATAAATAGATTGATACAAAAATTTCGAGTTATATAGTATTAACTACGGAAATATTTTGTCCGTAATAATCAAAATAATTCAAGCTAAATTGCTACAAATTTATTTTTCATTTTACAAGCAAATTAAATTTGAAAAATAATATTTGATAGATAATTTAATTGGGAACTACAACAATTATTTCAATGTATAAGTTTTTTTTTTTTTTTAAGTTAAAATCCTCTCCAATTTAAAAGCTTAAAAAAGTAAAGGAATATATAAATTATCACATGGATTTCATCACCTTAAAACGCTGTCGTTTTCTAGTATTAGGATTCCGCGCCAATGGCTGAAGCACCGAGTCCTCGTACCTGCACGGCAACACCCGTCTCCTCCCGCGTTTTGTCCTAACCACGTGCGAAACCTCATCGAAACGTCCGTGCAAACCCACCACCCAACACTTTCTCTCTTCCTTCACCAATTCCTTACCGTTTATCTCCTGAATTCCCAACTCGCTACCGAGTCCACCACGTTGCAACTCGTCGTTTTTCGAACTCAGTTCCCCTGTTTCAGTAAACGAAGGTGAAGAACCATCCTCCTGTCCAAACTCCCTGTCGCAAAACGGCTCCGTTTCCTTCTTTTCATCTTCAACGTCGGTCTCTGAAACTGGGTTTCTTTTCTCCTCAAGCAAAGAATCATCTTTTGTACTTTTCTCTTGATTTGACTTGGCTTGATAAGTAGAATCTATACCAACTGATGAACTGTTTTCAGTTTCTGCTGAAGAAGTTAACTCCAGGTTCAAGTCAATATGGAAACCCTCATTACCAAAAGGCAGAGCCTCGTCCTGAAAGCTGTTTGAGGTGGAGGAAGAATCGTGTGCTTGAAGAAGATGATGGAAAGATGGTTTTGGTTTCGAGTTTTGTTGGTACTGGTGTGAAGGAACAGAGGAGATGATGCTAAGGATCTTTTGCAAGCACATTTGAGCTTTCGAATGTCCGTCTCTTTTACCACCAACGAATTCATGCGAATCCATTGATATAACAAGAAAGCAAAAAGAGATCAAAAAGAAAACAGCGCCTCAGGCCTTCCCTTTTTAACTCCTCATCTAATTCTTCAGTTCTGCAAAATCACGAGAAAGAAAATAAACTCCGAGAAAGACACTATCCCAAGAAACCGATCTCTTTGCTTAATTTATTCCTTCTTGTTTTTTTCTTTTTTGGTGTTTTACAAAGTTGTTGAAGAGTCAAATGAGAGGGTTAATTGGGGAGTATAATTGTAATATAAATAAATGACGTGGCGCATGTGTGGAAGGAAGGAAGGAAGGGATAGCTGCCTAAACGATCAAAATATGCTTACCTTGAGGGGAAAAACATAGATATATATGACCCTTGCTTTATCACGATGATGATGATTAAAAGTTGCGCTCTCCAGTCTTCTAGGCTGAGCCTACTTCGACGTCGTTTTGATTTGGGTGTCTAGATTCTGTTGGGCTGCTTTTTGCTTCTATACCTTTGACCTTTTGGAGGCAAATTCTTTGGTATTATTTTTTTTAAGGAGAGTGTCCAATTTCTTGGAAGCAGAGTTTCAAAACAGAGAGAGAAGATCAAGGGAAATTATTCTTTGGTCGAAACAGAGATAGCTGCTTTCTGCTTTCAGTACTACCCAGCAACTATTCTTTCTTTTAATACTTTTACTCCAGAAACTATTACTACTAAACTACACTATAAGAACATTATCTCATAGTCTTGCACTGGAGCAACAAAATTTTGATACGAAATGAAAATTTTTTTTAAGTTCTTTGGGATCCAATCACGTAAAATGGTAGTAGTACTATATGTTTTCATGTTTTATTACAATAATCAACCAAATAAAAAGATGTTTGATCTTACCATCATTTTAAACTGAGGTACAATGAAAGACCCAATTCGGTGAAAAGAAGAAACTTTAAAAAGAATGTGAGGAAAAGTTTGGTTTCTGCAACCGGGGCCCTAACTTTGAACATGTGACACTTTTTCCTAACCTGGATCTTCACACGACGAAGGAAGACAATTAACCTTTTAGTTGTCTTCCAGCAAAATTGAAAATTTCACCATTACTTCAATTTCAAAGCCAATAACCATCTCTTACAGTCGTACTCATAAACCATAGGCCCTTTTTATTTTATTTAATAAAAAATTGCCACCTTCATCGACCATTAATTTTTTTGTACAAAAAAATCGCAATAACCTTAAACTTTTTTAATATAAAAAAATCATAATCTAAAAAAATTAAATTAAATTTCAAACTCATCGACCCTTAATTTTCATTTTAGCAAATACCATGATCTTTGCATATATACCAAGAAAAGGATAAAATTAAGATTTACTATAATGTTATCAAACTCTAAAACTGGATAACATAATTCAAGACTGGTACTACTACATTAATAAAAAGCATTAAAAAATACATCTGTCACCAATCTTAAAATTTTGCAATCTGCACTTGCCATTGACAGTTTACAGAGACACCATAGTTCCTGATTCTACCAAATGCCTCCTGTTTCTGCCACTTCGCAGTAATTCCTGCCACAAAACCCATCAACTTGTAAACAGGAAAAAGAAATTCACTTTTTTCCTTTTCATTCTTTTTTTTTTTTTACCTCGACCTTCGTTTCTTTTTCGTCGAAACCACGGCTGCAGCTGTTGCTGTCGATCTCTGTGGTCGCTTCTTCCATGGCTCCAAAACCGAGTCTCTAAACCTATGTGGCAAAACCTGACTCCTCCCTCTCTTTGATCTAACCACCGGCGATATATCCTCAAATTCCTCAAACCCTTCTTCTCCAACCTTAACCAAACTGTCTGTATGCCTTTTCATTGACCCACCACCACTTTTTTCAACCTCCTTAACTTGCTTCCTCTTTTCATTCAGGCAATAGTCCCTGTCTGAAATCATCTCCGCCGCTTCTATTAGCAAACCCAATGAATCATTAAACGCTGCCGCCGTTTTAACTTCACCGTGATCAGTAACGCTTTTAAACTCGTCACTTTTTTGCATTTCCGTGACATCAGAAGAAACATCCGTCGCTGTAGCTGTAGCTGTTTTCTCTTCTATTTCTTCAGTTTCTTCTTCTTCTTCTTCTTCTTCTAAATCTGGTTGTTTGCCAACGAAGCTATTTTCAGCTAAAGACTCAGATTTTTCTTCACTCTTCTTATCATCATCATCATCATCACCATCGAGAAAAGAACCTAATCTTAAGTTTAAGTCAATATCAAACCCTCTCTTCTTAGAAGGGTTTAGAGTATTTTCACATGGCGGTGGGACAGTTGAAATTAAATGAAGAATCTTTTCGAGACAAGCTTGAGCTTTGGAACATGATCTTCCATAATTTGCGTTACTAAAGCAAGAATATCTGACCTGATTATTGCAGTACAAAGAAGCCATTTTTGTAGTCAAACAAAAGAACCCAAACCCCCCTTTCCTTTCACATCTCACAAGGCTGTGCCAAATTTTCCGAGAAAATTCAAGAGAGAAAAATGAAAAGTAAGTAAATGAGAGAGACTGAGA